TGAATTTGATTTGATCAAATCAAATTCAAATACAGAAATTTCAAATCAAATCAAATTCAAATTGACAAAATATTCGACTTTGAGGAACCCTAGTAACAACAATATAATTTAATTTATGACGTAGATATTATATCAATATTACAGTAAATAAAAATTTAAAAATATATTTTTTATATACTGATCATGCCAAAAAAATTACTAGCCGAAAAATTTTTTGGCTAATTTTTTTATAAGTGTCCTAGGAATAATGAAAACAGCTATAATACTCTGGAACAAACCTTTTGTGACCATCCATATTGAACTTGAACAAGTTCATAAACATTTGAACCGAACCCAGACTGAACTTGAACCTGGTTTAAAAGTTCAATATTGAACTCAGACTGAACTATATTTTTAAAAATAAGTCTGGTTCAGGTCTGGTTCAATTTTGAACTGAACTTGAACTCAACCCAAAGTTCGGTCTAGTTTGGGTTCATAGGAATACTAATTAACAGTATTATACTAAAGTTTGATTAAAAATACTAATATTTACTTACCTTGCTCACAATATCTTTAGCCTATTAGTAACTATAAAGTTCAAAATGTGGGCACAACAACACTGATGCAACAAATTACCGTTTGCAATGAGTATATTTTGTTCACTGAGATTGCATTTTTATATTGGTTATTGCAGTATTGTTGTTAGTCGTGTTGTTCAAGGTAATGCCTAATATCTATGAAATAATAAATTTGGCAATAAAATATACAATAAAAAACTTGCTAAGTTATAAAATACCTACCTTAAACTTAATATCCCAATTGTCAAGGCACTTAAAAAATGTATTACTAATAGCAGTTCTAGTATGTGGTGCATGAACCAATCTAAATGCCAAAACTATCTTTTGAAGATTTCAATCCGTATTGATGAAGTGACCTAGTAGAAATATAATAATTAAGTAACTAGAAAAATAAATACATGATAAAGAAAATATAATGGCCATATATCCAAGGTTTTGGTTAGAGGTCCACAGATCAGTTGTAAGACTTAGACATCCAGGTGCTTCTTGTATTATTGTACAAATTTTTTCTGCAACCTCTTCAAAACAAATACTACAATCTGTACATACTGTTTTTTCACTCATAACTTTAAAATGTGGCCACAAGTTTTTAAGGAATTTTAAAAATCCTTTGTGTTCAACCATGTGAAATAGATATCCATGCATAATTATCATATTTGCTAAGTCTTGACAACTTTTATCTTGAGAGAATTTGTAACTAGTAATACCTGATGTAGATAATTGTAATTGTTGCTGTGATTTGGCCTTAAGGTATTTATTACATTTTGAGTTCTTCATATGCCAAATTAAGGAACTTGTTCCTGTGTTGGTATTATATTTAAAAAAAGTTTTGCAGTGCATACATTGAGCAAAATTCTCTATATATAAGTTATATTATATCAGTTATACAGTATAGTATATTATAAACAGTGTTGGTCAAATTAGTAGTTGACCAAAATTTTACTGGTCAAATTGGTCTGGTCAAATTGGTCAAATATAAATATATACATTATATAATAAACTATATTTAAATATACTATTTGACCAATTTGACTAGTACAGATCCTTTGACCAGACTGGTCAAATTGGTCAAATTGGTCTGGTCCAATGGTCAAACTAGTCTGGTCAAGCCAACACTGATTATAAAATATATAATCCTTATGTTGTTCAGGATTATCAGGTTTGATAAAATGGTCATCTTGAAATACCCATGATGGGAGTTTGCTGCCTCTTTTGCATTTTTTGCCAGGTGTATATTTTTTTATAGGAGGGGTTTGTTTAAAACCTGTATTTTTACCTTCACTAACTTCTAAATCTATTCTTATTTTTAGTATAACTGATAATAGTTTAAATGGAATAGGTTGCTAAAACTACAAGGTGTGTATAGTTTTTTAATATTGCTCTTTCGAAAAAAAAAAAAAAAAAGGAATATGATTCTTTTAGTTTTAATTTCACATGTTTCTTTTTTTGTTTCTATATTTAGAGACATTATGAGCTTTCCAATAAAAAAAAAACTAGAAAATAAGTATGTATCTAGTATACATATATTAGTATATACAAAAAAAATTAAATCTAATTCTCAAATTAATACTGTAATACAATATGTAGTAATTTATGTTATTAATAAAAAAGTCAAGTTATATTTATATATAGTGATAGTACATATATATTGATATAAAGCATGTCTTTAAAATTTGAAAGTTTACATTCTTAATATTTAAAGATATAAGTTCTACATATATATGTACGTAACGTTCAAATAACTCTAATTTATTGTATGGGTCTTATATAACAACCTGTGCTTTTTTTGAAAGCTTATTCGCACGGGTATATATATGAAAATCACATAATTTTCATATATACCCATGCAAATGAATTGCTTTCAAAAAAAATTATAACTACAAATCTATTTAAGTAAAATGTATTCAAAAATTGTAACTAGCAGAAGGCTTTTTTTTTTTTTGAATCATAACTAGTGAAAGACTTTTTTTTAAAATTATATCTAGTAAAAGATTTTTTTTAAAAATTGTAACTAAGACTTTTTTAAAATTATAATTAGCGATAAATTTTTTTTAAAATTGTAACTAGCAAAAGACTTTTTTTAAATTTAACTAGTGAAAAACTTTTTTTAAATTGTAACTAGCGAAAGACTTTTTTTAAATTGTAACTAGTGAAAGACTTTTTAAAATTGTAACCAGTAAAAGACTTTTTTTTAATTATAACTAGCAAAAGACTTTATTAATTGTAACTAGCAAAAGACTTTTTTTAAAATTGTAATTGGTAAATAGTTTTTTTTTTAAAATTGTAACTAGCGATAGATTTTTTTTTAAAGTATAACTGGTAAAAGTTTTTTTTAAAAAATTGTAATTAAGATTTTTTTAAAATTGCAATTAGTAATGACTTTTTTTTTTAAATTGCAACTAGTAAAAGACTTTTTTTAAATTGTAACTAGTGAAAAACATTTTTAAATTGTAACTAGGAAAAAACTTTTTTTAAATTGTAATTGGTGATGACTTTTTTTTAAAATTGTAACTAACAAAAGACTTTTTTAAAAATTGTAATTGGCAAATGATTTTTTTTTAAAAAATTGTAACTAGCAAAAGTCTTTTTTTAAATTGTAACTCGCAAAAGACTTTTTTTAAATTGTAACTAGAGAAAGACTTTTAAATTGTAACTAGTGAAAGACTTTTTTAAATTGTAACTAGCAAAATACTTTTTTAAATTTTAACTAGTGAAAGACTTTTTTAAATTGTAACTAGCAAAAGACTTTTTAAATTGTAACTAGCAAAAGACTTTTTTTAAATTGTAATTGATATAAGATTTTTTTTTAAATCGTAACTAGCAAGACTTTTTTTTTTAAATTGTAACTGGTAAAAGACTAATATGAGCTTTGGGATCATCAACTAACAGATTGCTACTAGGCATTTGTTGAAAGTACAATATGAATTAATAAAAAGAAGTTTAACAAACAAGTAAAAGAAAGAAATTAATAATAATAACTGTAACATAAAAGTTTAATTTATTAAATATAATGCACGGGTTGTTATGTCAGACCTATATAATAATATAGTTATTATATAGATATATGTGTATAAGTTAGTTACACACAGATTCATATCTAAACTACGTGGCCTTCGGCTATATGATTTAAATATGAATCCATGTGTAACTAACTTATACACACACATATTCATACAATAATTATAACTTATAATCTAATATATTCAGGTTTATAACAAGATTTTGTTATATTTTTTGTTATGTTATAAACTAAATAAATATGCATTTAGGTGTAATTTCTACATAATAAGGGATGTACAGAAAAAACCTGTAAGTAAAATTTTATTTGTTAATTATAATGCCAATCTTAAATATTTGGCACTGGGGAGCGACCAATCATTGGATATTACAAATAAACGTTTACTACATAAGCTATATAATAAATGATTATTTATTATATCTTATAATTGGTCACATTCTAGTGCCAAATCGTTAGGATTGGCATAGTGATTAACAAATAAAATTTTACTTACACGTTTTCTCTGTGCAGCACTTTAATTAAGTTGCATTTGTATAATGGATATTATCGAGTTTTACTAGGTCTATTTATAATGCCTGAACCTAACCCGGTATTTTATAAACCCGGTTTAAACCCGGCCCAATATTTTTTTAACCCAGCTCAAACTTGGCCCAATTAATTAACAGGTTTAAAATTTAGGCCCAAACTTGGCCTGACCTGCCAATTTCCAAGTTTGGTCCAGCCCATTTCAGACTCTATACACAGCATTATCTATCCAGAACTAATATTTATTTATTTATTTTTTTGGTATTAAGGTGAGGCCTTGCTCATATCTTTATTGATTAATTTATATGTAATTACATATCAACTATATAAGAACTTAATTTGTATAATAACAAATAAATATAAATTATAGACAAGAATAAAAGC